AAAAAAAAAAAAAAAAAAAAAAAAAAAAAAAAAAAAAAAAAAAAAAAAAAAAAAAAAAAAAAAAAAAAAAAAAAAAAAGGGGAAAAATGAGAGAATGCTGATGAAAATGCACAGCTAATAAAGTTCTTTCCCCTCGTCGCCATCAATCAGTGCCTACAGTTCTTCCTTCCGGAGAAATTTTGCCTTCGGAAATGGAGATCACACATTGCACATAATTCTCTCTTTCTTCCTTTTTACTTTTCTTTCTCTATTTCTCATCGCCCATTCCGTTCCTTCCAGGGTTAGGGTTGCTAATCCCCTTTTCTGTTTGTTTTTTCAATTTCTCCAATCGATCGTTATCTTTGAGGATTTCGCTTCTGTTCCTTGTGTTTTTAGATGAATTTTCGTTTAGTTTAATCTAATTTTTCATTGTTTCGTTTGATTACGCAGGGGTTTTGCTTGGACGCGAATTTTATCTCGGAGATCGATTGAAAACCCTTGTTCTAAGGGTTTTTCGTCCCAGAAAAAAGGGTACGGGGAATTTCCATTTGTTTCTTATGCGTGTGTATTAATGTTTCTCCTGATGATTGTTGTTGTAAGGATCTTACTGGCTTGTAGATATTATGATTGTTTCAGTCTGGAATTTTCAATGTTTAGTACAGGGACTCCGAGAATTTTGAATGTTCATGGAGATGATTTACACTTTACTTTTCGAATTGGTTCGTCAAAATCATAGTTGGACAGTGTCAAATGTATGTGATGAGTTTATGCTTTATAATTCCTATCAAAGGTTCAATACTGGGTTCTAGCGTCCTGCTAGAGTACATGTTTTGAGTTCAAAGGTAGATTTGGTGTTTGAGGTGGGAAAAATTATGGCCATTTTCTCATTGATGGCGTGTGGATTGCAACTATAGTTTTATAATGAAGGAACATATCTTTTCACTCTAGCGACTTAACTATTAAATCTTTTGATTCTTTTGGTCCTCTTTAACCTATCTTGTGTTTCTGCTGATAATGTAGGTATATGTGCATATGAATCCTCTGTTAGAATAACCTTGTATGGAAACTTGTTCTTTCTTTTTTTCTCTTCTATAGTTTATGTTTTTAATCTTGTTGCAAGTTCTTTTCTTCATCTAATTCCAATTTATAATGCGTTAACTTTTCATTTTTAGACTTATAGTTAAGGTATTCTGGGACATGGGAATTAACCCACGAATCACACTTTATCTTTTCACGTCCCTAAACGTACACGAAAAACATTTTTTGTTCATCGGCACGTGTATGGTAATCAAATTTGAAGTATTCAAGCTCTTCACTTTTTAGTAGTTGGTAGTAGTAGTTGTATTGTATTTGGTAAACAAATATTTGCCATAGCTGGATAGCTCGATACTTGGCTTCTGTTTCTCATTCTCGACTGCATCATCCTGGTTCCTTGTGTAGTCTGCTGTTGAGTGAAATTTATGTGTTTCCCACCCAAAAAGAAAAGAAACAAGTTCACGTGAATGTGTTGCAGGAGATTGAGAACATGGAACATGACGAGGCAAGCTGTCAAGCTCCCCCTGAGGGTCCCTTTCTGTGCATTAACAACTGTGGCTTTTTCGGAAGTGCTGCTACTATGAATATGTGTTCCAAGTGCCACAAGGATTTGATGTTGAAACAAGATCATGCTCAATTGAGTGCTTCAACTATTGGAAGTATCATGAATGGATCGTCTAATTCTAACCAAAATGAACCCTTTGTCACCGCCAGTGTCGATGTGCAAGTTAGTTTGGCGGAACCTAAGATCATCTCAGTGCAGGCATCTCCTATGGTTTCTGAAGGGAGCAGTGAAGTGAAGCCTAAGGACAGACCTAGACGTTGCAACAGTTGCAACAAGCGAGTTGGATTAATGGGATTCGACTGTCGATGTGGTAATATCTTCTGTGCCATTCATCGTTACTCCGACAAACACGATTGCCCCTTTGATTATCGCACCTCTGCACAGGATGCAATTGCTAAAGCCAACCCCATTGTGAAGGCGGAGAAGCTCGATAAGATCTAGGGAAAATCGGGTCAGTGGTTGGCTGGAAACTTGTATTGTGTTGTTGATCATGTCATGATCACCCAGATGATTTCTGCTTTGCTGCATGCATATCTTGTTAACCCGTTGTGTATTGTTCTATTTGGAGGAGGTAATGGCAATCGTTGCATCTCTGCAGTCTGAAAAAAATGTAGGAAGCAATATGTCGGTTTCAGTGTTTATTTGTCGTTGTTCGTTGTTCTAATGGTTTAACGTTATCATCAGAAGCGTGTTACACGACTGTATTGTGTCATAAAGCGTTCTGAGGAATGCGTATATGAACGAATGCTGCCTATGTTTGATTTGTTTGTAAGCATCAGTTCTCCTTCTTGAATTTATTCTTGGACCTTTTTACATAGTATCCATCGGAATAAGTTGTTTGATCAATGAAATCAGGAAAAAGTTTGTTTGTTTGTTTGATCTGGCTTTTATCGTTTAGAACCTTAAAGTTTTCAAACACTACCCGAAGTTTTGCAACACTAAAAAATTTCTAAAAGTTGCGTGAGATCCCACGTTGGTTGAAACGGAGAATGAAACAGTCTTTACGTTGGTTGAAGCGGAGAATGAAACAGTCTTTACGTTGGTTGAAGCGGAGAATGAAATAGTCTTTACGTTGGTTGAAGAGGAGAATGAAACAGTCTTGATGTGGAAATATCTCCCTAGCGTTTTAAAACCTTGAGTAAAGAAGATAATATTTGCTAGCAGTGGGCTTAGACGGTTACAAATGATATCAGAGCTAGACACCGATCACTGAACCAGTGAGGACACTGGCCCCAAGAGAGGTGGGATTGTGAATCCCACATTAGTTAGAGAGAACGAAACACTTTTTATACGGGTATAGAAACCTCTCATTGGCAGATGCATTTTAAAACCTTGAAGGGAATGAGAGGAAGCCCGGAGGGAAAGCCGGTAAACACGTTTCTCTCCATGAGAATTATTTCGTTAAAAACAGCTTGGAAAACAGACCATGATCTCACTGACCCCTTTGAAGAACCAGTACATAATCAATGAGAGGAAGCAAAAGCTAGACAGTGAGTCCGCTAGATCCAGCTTCAAGATACTTACAAATCCTCTCCATCACTTCTCTACCCTTCACACTGTTTTGCATGAACCTCTCAGCACACCGTTGCTCCACTTTTTCGGCCATCGACGCCAACGCTGACAACGGCTTGATACGAATACTCGTCTCCTGTCTGCACATTGTCCATCCGTTTGGATTATCAGGGTGAGGTTCATATCTAATCTTCTCCACCACTTCTATGAACTTCTGAAAGCTAATATTCTGAGTGGTCAGTTGCATCGAGCGTGACCGAGCATCTACAACCGTGGATTCGACACAATGGCAGGTATCTTGACCAACAATTTTACGAACAAACCATGGTCCAGGCGCATGGATGGTAATAGCACGGGTTGTATATAGCCTCCCAGATTCAGTGTCAACCTTTCTGTTTAAGGTGTCGACTTCAAGAATATGGGACAACGTACGCCTGTTTTCAGAGTCCACAAATTTACGCCAAGATGCAGAAGTTACCCGTTCCCACGGGTGCTCGTACGTGTACTCCTGAGCGTATGCTTTAACCATCACACTATTCTCAGATATCCTGAGCATCACACATACATACATCAAATCAGATAAGGAACAGTAAAAAGTTCGTTTTATCAAGTCAATAGGTCCTGCCCAACCCAGGAGTTCTCCATAATTCATAATAGTTCATTCACAAGAACAAATTTTCTCTCCAACAATCCTGCAGTTCTTTCACCTATTGTTCAATAAATTCATTCAAGTTATTTAGAGAATGAATATATTCTAGATCATAATGTAAGAATATGCAGAATAAACTAAATATATTGCAATCCATCAGTTTGAACTTCAAAATTATTTTGTGATTTTAACGTGGTATCATACAACTAGAACTCCTGTTAACGTCATTTTCTCCCAAATCAATATTGATCGTTGTTTGTTGGGCTTGTGCAAATATATCGTAACTTTATCAATTTAGTGTTGGAAACCACGGACCTCCACAATGGTATGACATTGTCCACTTTGAGCATAAGTTTTCATGGCTTTAATTTTGGTTTCCCAAAAGGCTACATTCCAATGGAGATGTGTTCCTTATAAACTCAGGATTAACCTCTTAATTAGCTGATGTGAGACTCCTTTCCCAATAATCCTCAACAATCCTCCCTTCGAACAAAGTACACCATAGAGCCTCTCCTTAATAGAGGTTCGACTCCTTCTCTAGAACCCTTAAACAAAGTACACCCTTTGTTCGACAGTTGAGTCACTTTTGACTACACCTTCAAGGCTCACAACATCTTTGTTCGACATTTGAGGATTCTATTGACATGGTTAAGTTAAGGGCATGGATCTGATACCATGTAAGGAACAACAGACCTCCACAATAGTATGATATTGTCAATTTTTAGTATACGCTCTCATGGCTTTACTTTTGGTTTTCCCAAAAGACCTCATTCCAATGGAGATGTACTCATTACTTATAAACTCATGATCAATCCCTTAATTGGCAGATGTGAGACTCCTCTCCCAGCGATCTTCAACAACGGTTAAAACAAAAGCTAAAGTAGGAAAAGGGAAACGATGAATGTTCACAATCAGCACAACACACATACTTACGGGTCAAACATTTGCAAGCAAAAAAGAAAAGAGTCCCATCATTACAAATAATGATCCATCAAAAGAACTGGCAGCAAAACATATGCTAGTTTTAACCATTCCCAACAATCTCAAATTCTTCCTTGGATTTGAAGATAAAGATGAAAAACACAGCTGAGTCACTTTCCACAGGCATCTAGAGCAGCTAGTTTGGAATTTAACCTATTTTATGAGCATTTCTCAACCACAATCCCACAGCAAACCCACAGAAATCCAACAGATAGTGCAAATAAAGGTGAAAAACAAAACCCCTAAGGAAGCGCCCAGCAAAATGGAATCAAAACGCATGTAAAAGAAAGAGCTAAAGATAGAAAAAGTTCACCTGAGAGATGAAAGAAGATGGAGTTCGCAGACGGCGGAAGAAGGCGGTTCCGATAGGTCAAGATCTCAATCTCAAAATAGAAACTCACAGAAAAATATAGAAAATTTCGGCAAATCAGAGCTTCAGGAAGAGGAAAGACCATTTCCATAGGACCGAGGTGTGGTTAAATAGAGATGTAGTTTTCTGACGAAATTGCCCATCGCCATTGCAGCTGAAGACGGAGACATCGAACTGTAATGGGTAATCCAATCCCCAAAGCTTCCATTTTCAGGTCTCGTTTGCATTTTCTTTAGAAATAATGAATAAAAATCTTATTTTTCTTTATTAAGTATAATAGAAAACATATTGCTATTTATTAGTAACCATTTGTAAAAGAAAGAAAGAAAGAATTGAAAAAAAAAAACATAATTGGTTGTCCTAGTTATTTGAGTTGGTGTGCCAACGAATAGGTTAAGTTCCGAAAGGGGTGGACACAACACAGAGCAGTGTGCCAGTAAGGACAATGGGCCCACAAAGGGGGTGGAGACATCAGGCGGTGTGCCAACAAGGAGGCCAAGTCCCGAAGGGGGTGAACACGAGGCGGTGTACCAATGAGAACACTGAGTCCCAAAGGGAGGTGGACATCGAGCGGTGTGTCAGCAAAGACAATGGCCCCCAAAGAGGGTAGAGACACTCGGCAGTGTGCCAACGAGAAGGCTGAGTCCCGAAGGGGGTGGACACGGGGCGGTGTACCAACGAGGACGTTAAATCCTAAAGAGAGGTGGACACCAAGCGATGTGCCAGCAAGGACAATGAGCCCCCAAAGGAGGTGGATTGTGAGATCCCACATCATCAATTGGAAAGAAGAACGAAGCATTCTTTATCAGAGTGTGAAAACTCTCCCTAACATATTTAAAAACCTTGAGGGAAAGTCCGAGAAAGAAAGCTCGAACAAGCTCAAAAAGAATAATATCTCCTAGCGATAAGGTTGGACCATTACAACCACGGTTTTGTAGTAATAATAATAAGTTCAAATAAACTAACTAGATTAGATCACTCTTTTAATATATATAATCCTTGTTATTAGAAAAACGTAAGTCTATGAATATCATTAAACTATATCTTATTAAAGTTGAGCTATGATCAAATTGTGCATACCTTTTTATTTGAAATACTGGAACCGAGAGTACATTAAATGGGATAGAATAGAACTTAAACAAGCCAAATAGCTCGTAATTTATCTAGACTTAAACACTCGTGATATTTGTAATATGGCTCGAACACTCACGAATAAAAAAACCGAAAAAAATTACAATTGCAGCATCAGAAACATGGCTATACAGACAGTAAGTTGTAATACAGCTACACATGACATGAAGTGCCTGAAGTGGAATGATGCTTTAGACAGACACACATACAACACTTCGGTGTTGAAAGAATCACTAAACACTGCACAAAGAATGGAATGAATATGAATGAGTACTGTGATGATAATGCATTTTGTATAGCCACATGACAGGCTTAGTATCTTATCTCATTTTTGAAGTAGCCGTTCCTCGGCTGGATCTTGGGACGACAGATTGACGGGTGTCGAACGTGTCGACTTTGAAGAATGAACGAGCAATTGCATAACGAGGATTATGAGAACCAAGAGGGCAGCTAGGAATGCGATGCCTTCCCATGAGGAGAGGAGTGCAGACCATTGGAAGAATTTAACAATGCCAAAAGCCAGGATACATAACCAACAAAGAACAACCTGTTGAGACAAGAAAAGAGATATCTCGGGTCGATAAGGAGAGCGGAGAATGTATATAGGATGATGTGTGGTTTACCAGTCTTGATGTCGAGAAAACGTACCAATAATGACTTTTTTGGTCGGCCTATGTTGATAGGTTGTTGATCGCTGAACGAATTCTTGGTCATATACTTCTCCAGTAATGTGTCCTGCAAAGTTGCATGAGGAAATAGATATCAGAGATATAGAGAGAGCACTGAGAGAGTTAGAGGGAAATTGAGCAGTGACAGAATGCAAGATGAGTTTGGGGAAGCAAGCCGAAAGTATGCTCGCTTAAATACTCATTTCTGAACGTATGAGATTCTTTTTAGTTTTCAAATTTGAAGAAATAGCGTTTTTGTGAGATCTCACATCGGTTAGGAGGAGAACGAAGCATTCTTTATAAGGGTGTGGAAACCTCTCACTAGCAGACGCGTTGTAAAACCCTTGAGGGGAAGCCCGAAAGGGAAAGCTCAAAGAAGACAATATCTACTAGCGGTGGGCTTGACTGTTACAAATGGTATCAGAGCCAGACACTGGGCGGTGTGTCAACGAGGGAATTGAGCCCCGAAGGAGGGTGGACACTAGGAGGTGTGCCAGCGAGGATGCTGGGCCCCAAAGGGGTGTGTATTGTGAGATCCCACGTTGGTTGGAGAGAGGAACGAAACATTCTTTATAATGGTGTGGAAACCTCTCCCTAACAGACACGTTTTAAAAACTTTTAGGGGAAGCCTGAAAGGGAAAGCCCAAAAAGGACAATGTCGGCTAGCAGTGGACTTGGGCTATTACAGTTTTATAAGCTTAATTTTTAAAAACTAAAAATTGAAAAGTCAAATGATTATCAAACGGGACCTAAACAATTGTTTATCGACGAAACGAGGTAATAGCTCAGCAGATTACTTGCATCTATTTCTCAAGATAGGAAGAACGATTAAAAAAACGTGTCCAATCGCTTCTAATATCTGTTATTGTTCCTCATACCTTGGTAACGAATAGATCTTTGCACCACTGTGAGATCCCATCTGCAGTTACTGGCAATTCCTGCATTTCGTGTCGCTTGACTTGCAGTTTTACCTGTGCAATAGGACACATTAGATGTATACTTATAACTTTATATTTTTGTAGAGGATACAAAGCCTATCAATGTTCATACAAAATAAGGATTGATTACAATCATAGAGTCAAGTTTTAATATGTTCTTATTCAAGCCCCAGAATAACCAGCCCAGTTTAGGATCAGTTCATTTTAAGTTGGGACACTATTAATGACACAACCCTCAAGTTAGCTTAATTTTTTATTCACTTCTAATGAATCTTTTAATGCTTTAGTCCCACGTATCAAGAAAAACTGTGTGAGATCCCACATCAGAGAATGAAGCATTCCTTATAAGAGTGTGAAAATCTCTTTCTAGCGTGTTTTAAAACCTTGAGGGAAAGCCCAGAGAAAACAGTATCTGCTAGCGGTGAGTTTGAGCTGTTACAAATAGTACCAAAGCCAGACACCGGGCGGTGTGCCAGCGAGGACTTTGGGCCCTCAAGGAGTTGGATTGTGAGATCCCACATCGGTTAGAGAGGAGAATGAAGCATTCCTGGTAAGGTGTGAAAACCTCTCCCTAATAGACGCGATTTAAAACCTTAAGGAGAAGCCCAAAAAAGACAATATCTGCTGGAGGTGGACTTAGACGGTTACAAATTGTCTCCACCCCCACATAGAAATGGCCCCTGTGACCATGTCCAAAGATTCAGGAACTAATAGACATCCATTTAAACCTGTGTCTTTTAAAACAGCACATATCTTATTCAGGCAAGTTCTAACAGGAATGCAAAAACTAACAACACAACACAAGCCCCAAAGAAGCAGTCATTCATTCATGAAGCAGATGAATTTATAGATGACTGTTATCTTCATGAACAAGGATGGACATTATCTTGAACTATTATATTAAATAATGAGTGATAATGTAGTGTTCAAGCAATATCATATGGATCATCAATCAGTCAATTATTATTCTTCAAGGGTTTGTTGGACTACCACAAAAGATTGGCCTCTAAATAGCGTCAACAATGTAGGAGGGTTGTCTTTTGGGGAAGTGGCCACTGTACAATCATAAATAGCAGGAACAAACGAACGCATATGGTTCACAGCAGAAACAAAGCCCTGCAAAGACCAGGCTGATGGTAAGGGAAGGATAGAGTTCATGAATTTACCCGTTTCGATTCTAATGGTAAAGGAATATTCAATTCACCTTCGTACGAGGAATTAAAACATTTCTAGGGACAGGTAATCCTCTAGATGCAGCATATTCCTGAGAAGCTAGAAGTTTTTGTTGTGTAAAACGAGTTCCCTCAACAAAAAGTGCCAACCAAAATGGCATGGGAAAATCCATGAGTGACTGAAAGCTTGACTGCCATTGAATGTTAGAAAAGAAAGGGAAAAGGTGAGATGACATGCTTAAGTGTAACTTTTATTGCACGTATATGAACTCACCTCCAGAGTGCTTTCATCCTTTGCCCAGCTTCTTTCTAGAAAAATATAGTCAGAGTACCACATTGACCAGCCAATGACCTGAAACAGTAGCATGATATCTTTTGTCAATTGGTAAATAAATCCTAAGAGAAACTCGATTCGTTCAACCGAAAGGAAGTGATTTTTTTTAGTGATTTTGGTCATTCCGAAATCACTCCCAAAATATACCCTAAAGACTAAAAAAGTTGATTTGAGTCGTATTAGCTCAATTTTAAAAAAACCAAATGGTTATCTAATGGTGCTTAAGAGAATGTGAGATCCCACGTCGGTTGAAGAGGGGAACGGAACATTCCTTATAAGGGTGTGGAAACCTCTCCCTAGTAGCCACGTTTTAAAACCTTGAGGGGAAGCTCGAAAGGGAAAGCCCAAAGAGGACAATATCTGCTAGCGGTGGGCTTGAGCTGTTACAAATGGTATCAGAGCCAGACACTGAATAGTGTGCCAACGAGAACTCTGGCACCCCCAAGGGGGATGGATTGTGAGATCCCACGTCGGCCGGAGAGGGGAACGAAACATTTCTTATAAGGGTGTGGAAACCTCTCCTTAGTAGACGCGTTTTAAAACTTTGAGGAAAGTCCAGAAGGGAAAGTCCAAAGAGAACAATATCTGCTAGCGGTAGGCTTATCCTAACGAGGTAAATTGAGTCAAATATGTTGGTTATGACCAACTCAATAAAAATCACAAAGTCAAAGATAGGATGGATTCTTATTAGAAAAGAAAACAATGGGATTTTGAATTCAACAATTCTAGAGTAACAACACAACCAGCAGTCTTCTTATTATTCCCAGAATTTTCATGATGCGAGAACATACTTAGCTTTACTTCAATTTGTTCATTCATAATATGGACGGCTGCAATACCATACAGTTAATACTTACTGGGAGGAATTTTGCCTCTTTCTTCATAATGGCTAAGGCACTACCAAGACAACCTGCACGCTGCATTAAGAAGGCTTAATTTCGAAACAGGCGAAGAACAATACAACAGTTTTAGCATATATTGCTGAAGTTATAATTTGAAGTACCTGAGCTAGGACCCATCCAACAAGCCAGTCAATGTCACTTCGATGATTGCATAAAACAAGTGCGTGTTCTTGCCCTGTAGTTTTGCACGTATGAGATTATGTTCGAGTTGCAACTCATATATGTTTTTGACATTCAATTTCTAATATCATACCCAACAATTGGAAGGTTGCTTGATCTGTATACAGCTCAACCTGCAATGAGCAAAATTTACCAACTCACAAGAAATGGCCTGATTAGAAAAATGCTCTTTCATCTATGTTAATATTAAGTGTTTCATTTGCATAATAAAAAGAGGTCCATAACAAAAGAGTAACTAGTATCAGACTTATATCGGTAATAACAAAGCAAAAATGTATGTTTAGCCAAAACATATTTTAACGAAACCGTGACACCTTGGCACCTGCCCACCAATCGATTAGCCAAATGAGTTCCAACCATAGCAGTTCAGCAACCAGTTTGTTGATTCTCCTGTACCAACACTTCGAAATGGGACGAACAAGAACAAAGACAAGTGCCTGAAAGTTGAATTCATGAATTACATGAGACAACTATATCTATATATATATATACACAGAGATATTGATATATAGATAGATAGATCCTTTTATGTTGAGGGTTTAAAATGAGGCTTAACAGACCTATTTTCTACCAAATCCAAACAAAAGCTTCACAAACAATCCAAACACAGGCTTAATAACCCCAAATTTAATAAACTCAAGCTTAATGAACCCCCCAAAACTGTGAACCAAACAGCTCCTAAACGAGTAAAAGACTGAGTTGACCGATGAATACGCAAATCAAAATGTTAAGGTGAGATCCCACATCGATTGGAGAGGGGAATGAAGCAGTTCTTATAAGAGTGTGGAGACCTCTCCCTAGCAGACGCATTTTAAAAACCTTGAGGGGAAGCCCGAAAGGGAAAGTCCAAAGAGGACACTATCTACTAGCGGTGGGCTTTGGCTGTTACAAATGGTATCAGAGTCAGCCCCGGGCGGTGTGCCAACGAGGAAGCTGGGCTCTCAAGGAGGTGGATTGTGAGATCCCACATCGGTTGGAGAAGGGAACGAAGCATTCCTTATAAGAGTGTGGAAACCTCTCCCTAGCAAACGTGTTGAGGGGAAGCTCGAAAGGGAAAGCGCAAGGAGGACAATATTTGCTGCTAGCGGTGGGCTTGGACGGTTACACAGAACCATAAAAACCATGATTGTCCTTAGGAATGGTAATAATTAATTCAATCTCATTCATATAATGCCAGTAGCCTGTATATCTTTAATTTTCAGAAGTAAACATTTTTCAAATCACTACGATCTCGTTGCCAAATCATGCAAAATAGCTAACCATACAACAAACTTTATTATAGCTGCACGAATCAGAATAGAGCAGTTCAATATTTAGACGTTATTGCTTCAACACCATTTACAAATACAGCAGGTGCAAAGAGCAGGCACAGATTCAAACAATCTAGATTCATAACTGGTTTGCAAATTAACGCCCATTAATCAATACATCAGGATTGCAGAAAGATCAAGTACCCATTCGAAAAGAATTCAACTCTTGTCATCGCATAGACAAGGGTTTGAAAAATGCAACTCAACCAGAATCAGACAAGGCGATTACACCCACAATAAAGGGATAAAGAGAGGAAATAACAAAAGAGGAATCTCCAAAAACCTGAAGAACATTGACGATGAGGCCGGAGAGGATGAAAAGCAGACCAAGAGGAACGATGACGAGCACAGCACGGATCGCCATTGGCAATGTGCATAGAAACGGAGAGAGAAACGGGTTGAAGGATGGAAAAATGGGAGATTAAAGGGTAAGAATTGCGGGAATTGGTGTTGTTAAGATACAAAAATTATACGAGGCGATGGATGCCGGAAGAAGCTCCAAATTATGAACATGGTGATGCTGTTCGCAAATTGCTGTCTTTTTCTTCCTTTTTTTTTTTTTTTCTTTTTATTATTATTTTTTTTTTCAAGAGAATGAGAGTAAAAACAAAAAATTGAATAGTTGGCCATTTTGTTAATTTTTTTTCTTCTAAATGTTGTATTATTATTTTTTAAATAATTATACAATTAATATTATACAAACTAATCACTATATATATATATATATATATATATATACACGTTTCTACTATATATATATAATTTAAATCAAATTTGAAGTTGGTATAAAAAAAAAACATTTTAAAGTTATCCAAAAATAAATTGAGCTTTATCAACTTTATGTTAATTAAATTTATCAATATGCTCGACGTAGCTCATTTCAGCTTCAATTATCAATAAAGTTCTTTAACAAAAAGAACTCGCTTCGAGGTTGATTTATGTAAGCAAAGTTCTCCCGCTTACAGTTTCACTACAGTGTGAAAATGAACATTTGAGGTAGCTCAAGCCTCTATTTAGAGAAGGCTCCGAACTTATGAAAAAGTGGGCTGATAAAAAAACAAATGTCCCTTGAAGATTCACCTTATACTCCATGCAAATATTTTGAAACTCTTTCATTCTAGTTTGGTTGATATCAATTGCATGAGACAGCTAGGCCTTCTGTCGTAATGAGGAACAATGCCAAGAAAGAAGTCAAAAAGATCTTAATTGAGAGGACAGGACACAATGAGTCGACAAGCTAAGAAGAGATGTGCAAGAGTTCTGTGTAAAATGAAGGAGGCTCTCCAATGCAGAAGCCAATTGAAAGTGCGTTGAAGACCTAATATCGTGTTGTTCATATAATTGAGTTTGAACACGGTAAGTTGACAAGGATGTCAAACAATTAGGGGGGCGGGGGAGGAGTGCTCCGATCATACTTTCCGTAGGGTGTGTCACCTACCCATAAATAGTTATTTCCAAGACTTTCTCTAACTCCATTCTCTACAACCGCTTTTCTAGAACAGTGGTAGAGACCAAAGAGGACATTTGTGCCACCGACTATCTAAGTTTGAGTTAGCTAACTTACTCAAAGGTCGGTGAGAATAGGTGCAATCACTCTGTGAGTGTGTGAGTGATTGTGACATCACATAATCCAAACTTCAATCAGGAAACTTCAAATTTAATTACAGTTTCATGAAAGGAAAGCATATTCTAAGCTGAAAAAAGAAAGCATGCAGATGCCATCAGCCGGCATTCTATCTATCCAGGACATATTCTAATTAAAATAAAGGTCATACAACGCCCATCGTCTGTGCATATACATGAAATCCAGAGAACTCTAAAAACAATAATGATTCTGAATCCCGAATTTTGCAGTTCAAAAAATGCCCAAAATAAGATTTCACAGTTTGGAGAGAAGTGTTCCTCAGATTGCACACTAGGAATTTTGGGCCGTCTTTAAATTGGCTTGATCTTGTAGTGGAGTGAAATGAGAGAAAATACAAAGCATTTCAGATCCTACAGCCAAAGAAAACACAAATATGATCTAAGCTTGATAATGTCATGCGTATAAAGATATAATGCATGTAATACTCAAGAATCTAGAGACAGAGACGGTCTAAAAGGCAGATAGAAACCTTCCATGTTTAAGTAATCTACGCAGAGAATTAAGCTTTACCTGAACAAGATAATAGAATATCCGCAATCCTTCAGGATCCTTGCTGCTTTGCACATCAACAAGAGATCCAATCTTAGATGTAGTAAAGGAGATATGCTCGTTTCCCATCACAATCTCCAGCTCCTGTCGTCCAACCCGATCGGGTTCTGGCCAATTATTGTCATCTTCCTTCATTATCTGAACAGAGACAAGTTCCAAAAGGAGATAAAATAAAGCATTTCGAGGCAACTGACAAACAGATTCAATTTCAAAATGCTCTTTGTCAAATACATCATGGAGAAAGAAAATACGGGAGGAACAAAGAAGACTCGTCTCAATCGCATTGGGAACGTAACATTTTATTCAAAAAGGAAGAAAATAATTGAAGACGCTCAAAATCCAAATAGTAAAATAATCTCATCCTCTTTTGCATAGCTTGGAAAAAGGGGGTGATAGATCAGATCTATGAGAAACCGAATTCAACGACAACATATGAACATCAGAATTTTTTTTAATTAGTCTAATGAGGTAAGATTCTTTTGAAATATTATTTTTGCGACAGCTTGAGGCTCTTTCTAACTATAGTGCAAGGTGTGATGACTTCATTATTACTAGATGGAGTCACAAGAGATCTTCATTATTAGTAGATGGTGCATTGTTGATACTTCAATAAGTTTATTGATGGCCTTTCTTTGATTGATCTCCCTTCATAAAATGGTGATTTCAATTGGTCACCAACAATAGGGATCAACTGAATTTTTATTAAACTAGCACAGAATATCAAACTTCATTTTTGAAGAGTTGAAAGAATGCTTCGCACCACTTAGAATCATTTTCCAATCTGTTCACACGCCTTTCAATTTAAAAAATAATTCGCTACGAATCTACAGGGAACCAAATATCTTTAGTAGTATATCCCCCCTTAAATCTAATTAGATTAGCTGTCCCATATGCTTGATTGACAATAAGAAAAGGATCCCTTTCACCTATGGAGCCCATTCCTTGTTTGGAGTGCCTATGGCATGAAAGAAAGTCGCACTTAATAGTTTTGGCCTTGACTGGCTACTGGAGGAATCTTGAAGAATTGGAACAGCATCAAAGAGCACGTTCTAATGGGATTGCAGTACTTTCTTGCTCTTCCGTAATGGAAAGCTGAGAGGTTTTAGATTAAAGTTTCAAGACGTCTTAAGCAAGGTCACCCCCTTGCCTTCCATTTTGCCTAAGAGGTGGCTACTCTAAATAGTTCACTTGACAAAGGCTTCTGAGATGGTAGCCTCTAAAGATTCATTGTTGATAATGACACTATTCACATCACTCGTCGTCAACTTGTCAGTAACATGCTCCTTTTTCAAGTGACAATACTATCAAACTCAACAATCTCCATAAAGTTGTGAATCCTTTTTAATTTCCCTTCAGCCTAAGGTCAAACAACATTATACCACTGTTAAAAATGAGGAATCTTTGCATCTGAGTGATTATATTTTAATTCTTTTAAGGATTTTCTCCCTGATCAACTCTGACCAATTAAGTGTTCAAGTGTATTTCCTTCCTTTTTCCAGTTCAGCTCTTCTAAGTTTCTTTGTGTTCAAGCATTATGGATTTAAGCAACTGTTGTATTCAGAATAAAATTTACTTTAAATGGTTTGAAAATGATCATTTTTTCATAGAGGAACTGGATAGAAAAGATTCTTACCTATTGAATTAGCCCATCTCATTTGGATTGAGAAATCTACGGTTGATTTGATGCATAATCCGATCCATTGAAGCTTTTATATGCAAGATAGATTTGCGATGGCATGTGAAACACAAGATTTTGGCTAGCACGGGTGGAAGATAATGTATATCCGCATTCTAGTTCAATTCAACAAAGCTGGGTGGGTAACTATTTGGGATAAGCTGAATATCTTCTTAAAGAAACATTGTCAAATGGATTTCATGAAGGAAAAAAGTAGTCGATATTGAAAAGCCGAAGATTCTAAGGGGTTAAGGATTGGCTGTCGAAGATGAAAAGCCGATATTGCTATGTTCATAGAGTATTTCAAAAGTAGAGGAGAAAAAGAAGTCGTAAAACAAACAGAAGCAATGCAGCAGAGAAACATAATCTCAAAGTAAACAAAAGAAAACCCTAAAAACGGTGATGCAAAGGAAACCCTAACCTCGCTATCGGAGATGATTCGACGGCATTCCCGGAGGACAGCAGGAGTGAGGTAGACTTCCTTGCGAATCATCGTATCGTTCTTGTAATTGGAGTTGTTAGCGTAGCGAAGCTTGCCATCAGGTCGGAATTCGAACTCCAAGAACTCGTGCCCAAATTTTCCTTTGTGCCCTACATAATATCTCAAGTAAAACTCACCATTCTCCATATCCTCGGCCGCCATGGCACCCGCAGTAAACCTTCTTTCTCTCCCGCGCAGCCTCAGCGACTCGAATATATCCCTTATATATAGGAGAATTGCCGACGACGATGGCGCCGCTGAGCTGCTGAAACGGAGGAGGTAACGGCGTGGGGAAGAAGGTGCGTGGAGCACGTGCGAGGATTTTTGCATTATTAACCATTATCTTCCTCTTGATTTATAGGCTTTTCTTCTTCTTTTTTTTTTTCTTTTTTTTTTAAATTAATAATAGCAATAATATTAAAAAGATATGTCATATTAATTTAAATAACATTTTTAAAAATTTAAAATATAGATTCATTTGTGATGTTAGATAAAATAAGGCTTTTTTTTTTTAATTTAATTTAATTTAATTTTTTAATAATAGATATGCTATATTAATTTAAATAACATTTTTAAAAATTTAAAATATAGATTCATTTGTGATGTTAGATTTTTTTCTTTTTTTTTTAATTAATAATAGGAAAATATTAAAAAGATACGCTACCTAAAAAGGTTCGCAAACAAATTCAAATAAATTTATAATTATTAAAAAAATGATTTATAGTCTTTTTTTTTTTTTTTTAATTAATAATACCAAAAATATTAAAAAGATATGTCATATTAATTTAAATAACATTTTTAAAAATTTAAAATATAGATTGATATTAGATAAAATATAGGCTTTTTTTTTTAATTAATAATACCAAAAATATTAAAAAGATATGTCATATTAATTTAAATAACATTTTTAAAAATTTAAAATATAGATTGATATTAGATAAAATATAGGCTTTTTTTTTTAATTAATAATACCAAAAATATTAAAAAGATATGTCATATTAATTTAAATAACATTTTTAAAAATTTAAAATATAGATTGATATTAGATAAAATATAGGCTTTTTTTTTTAATTAATAATACCAAAAATATTAAAAAGACGGGTTAAATAAAATATATTAAAAGTTCGCAAACAAATTCAAATTAATTTATAATTATTAAAAAAATGATTTATAGTCTT